CGGGCTCAGGCAATCCACTCACCTCAGCCTCCCAAAGGCGCAGGATTACAGGCTGAGCCACCAAGCCCGGCCATCCTGTTGATTTATAAGCTTCCACCTTAGACTGGGGGAAGACTCAGAGTTAAGTTCAGAGCCCCTTCCTTCTCACCACCTCAGGAGACTACTCCTTTTCCAGGGCTTTTACCAATAATACTTACAGTCAGAACTTTAGAAAGGATAAGAAAGAGAAAAGGAGGTCTTGAAGGGTGTTAGCAGAAAGAAGAGAGAATAGCAGGAGGCAGAGAAGATGAGGCCAACTGAATTTGTAGAGTTAGGGGATAAGTTTGTTCTGATAAGGTTATAGCATCTGATGGGAAGATGTGTTGTGCACATGTATGTGTGTGTGTGCATGTGTGTGTTCACAGGTGGAGCCCTATAAAAGAGCCTGGGGTCAGGGGTTGATGAGGTAAATGCAGAAGAGGAATATTTCCTTCCCAGGGTGGTATTTGGGGTGGGTAGGTTTGCAGAGAAGCATGGGAAGTGGGAAAGGGAAGTGATTATGAGCAGCACAGGAACCCTACACAAGAGTGGTGTTCAGGAATCATGAGCCTCTAAAGGAACTCTCTACCCTCCCCCACTGGTGTGTGTGTGTGTGTGTGTGTGTGTGTGTGTGTGTGTGTGTGTGTGTGTATAGAGAGAATAGCTGCCCCAGGCTAACTTCTTTGGCCTAGTGCCAGCGTATAGGCCAGAGAATGTGGCTGGGAATTTTCAATGACCAAGCTGGGGGTGGCATGGGGAGGCTTCTTGGTGGTCCAAAGCCTGCATGCCAGCTGGTAGTGGATGAAGCTGCTGGCATGTAATTGCCCAGGAGGGCAGTCTGAGGACAACCCCCCCAATCTCACACTGATTACTATCACTGCCTCCCCTCAATGCACACACACACTGCCCAGTCCATTTACATCCCCCCAGAGCCTGTACCCTCCCATCACTCTCTGCCTGGACCCCTTCCCAGGGCACTAATATACATTGAGCATATGTGAGTGCATGTGTGTGTGTGTGTATGTGTGTGTGTGTGTGTGTGTGTGTGTGTTGGGGGGCAAGGAACTAACATCTG